ACGCATGAATATAGTCGTCGTCTGCAATTTAAACTTTCTTTTAAGTGACGCTTTAGCCAAGAACTATCATCAAATCGATGTAATCAGACTGATCGGCTGATCAGTCGATCGATTATTTGATCAACAATCAACGTTTAGATAGAGCTGATCAGTAACTGAGCTGATCAGCTTTCTTCTCTCATAGTAAAACATTCAATTCAATGAAACAAAACAATTTCATATCGTCTTACCACTATTCTTAATGATCACTCGTGTTTTATCAAGTAAACGGATATCATCGTATCTAAAAGCAAATCCAAAATTATCCAAAAAATTTCCCAAATTACCCCCCCCCCCCCNCCCCCAAAAAAACATCCAAAATGTAAAAATGTCACTAATTCGGGTGCAACCCAACCAACCCAACCAACCAACCAACCCACAAAAAAAATGCAAATCCCTCAAAACAGAATCCAATCAAATCACCAGCAAAATATACCATACCTATTCTTATCGAAATTTTTCTCGTTCTCCCACGCTGTCTGCGGGCCACTCGGCGTATAGTTTTTGATTTCTCTAATGAATTCCTTGCGCACCCCACGCACACCCGCATCCGCCACCGACTCCATCCACTGCTCGATGACACTCTTCTTGTGGCCTGATGAACCGGACGGCTCCTGAATCGATCACTTAATTAATTAATCTCACCTCACTCTCTCTCCACGCTATTTCAAAGTCAACTCTAAACCACTGAGCATTCATCTTCACCTGAACTAACTAGCTGCTGCTCAAGAAATTCATTCTATTCAAAACAGGAAAGAAAGTCAGTCAGTCATAAAATTCTAAAAACTAAAAACTTAAAAAAGCTAAAAATTTTGCATTCTTTCCAAAAAATTTTCAAATTTTCTGCTTCAAGTTCCTAGTCGTTTGTGGTTTCTTTGCAGGAATGACACCTCTGAGTTTTCTTGAGCAGAAAGCTATCATCTTATTTGAAAATTTCCATCAGAATAAGCTGCTGCAAAATCAATTTCATATGGAAATCAAATACGATCAATCAAAAGTCACAATAAACTGACCGTTGAGGTGTGTTTGTGTACGAATTTGGTGCCGATAGGCGTGCGAGGCTGAGCCAGTTGTCTGCGTTGCGCACCTCGTCCGGCCGACTTCTTGCGCCCCTCACCCCCAATGTCCACCGAGCACTCGTTACGACCGCGTGTCATCACACGGCGCTTCAAAGTCACCAAATTCAAATTCAATATCAACCATCATCTCATTCACACATAAAATCAGACTACTTTTACCCTGATATCCACTTTCCAGGTAACACTTTTCCAGGTAAAACAAGTTTACCCGAAAATCCAGGTAATCCAGGTAAACTTTTTACCACCACACAAAACTGTCTGCACACACCTTTGCCCTCAGCAGCTTTCACAACAACAACAACCAAATAAATACTCATTATTCCTGGCTAGCATCAGCACAAAGCCTAAGCCGTTATCCATCTCAAAACTATCCATCCCAAAACCACCCCGTCGTCCTCGATGGGAACTCCCTCCTGTTAGCGCTTGAAATTGAATCTTAAAAAATAATCGATACGCAATGCAATTTGACTAACTCACTTACCTTTCCTTTGCCAGCTGTGGGTGCCATTTTATTTCTTTCGGATTGATTTCAGAATCTTATCGATAGATGACAGCACCTCTTGCAGCACCAAATCTGATACAGCGCTATATCCGTTTGTATTGTTGAACCCGCCCGCTCTACAATACCAACTGTAATACGAAATGATTACAATTCATCAACCAGCTCAATTTATAATCTCACCACAGCAGCTTCAGCATAATCCAAATGCGTATGCAAATTGAACA